ATTAGGTGAAAAAATAGTTAAGATAATAAAATCATTCTTCTGTGTTTTAATGTGTTTTGTAGCTCACAAGCCATGGGACTGCAACTCCTACGGTTAGGACTGATGGTACCAAAGGAGGATAAGAGGTCAAGACCAGCAGACATTGAACAGTGAGGCAATAAGGTTGAAGTTCAAGTCTGGGATGGCAACCTCTTTCTAGTTTTTAGCACTGTCCCTTACTCAGCAAAAATACCCCTGTGAGAGAATTATATTTGTTTTGGGGTGTTTTGCGGATTCATCAAAGGTGAATTTTTATGTGACTTGGCATGTGGTATTCATTTCAACAAGGTAACATGAATCATGTTGTTTTGCTCTTCTGTGTCATTACTGGATTTTGGTCTGCTTGGTCTATCCACTTTTGAGAGAGCTATTTTAAAACATTCCTTTATAATTGTGTGGCTTTAGATTGTCCTTCTTTCATTCCATCAATTTTTGCCTGTGTTCTAACTACAATCGTGCGTGTAGATTTATGATTGTGATGAGCCCTTTTATAATGATCAAACGTCCCTCTTATGTCTAGTGATACTTCTTGACTTAAAGTTTACTTTTCTGATGTGAGTGCAGCTGTTTCAGAGAGAGAGGGACTGATTCAGGCACGGGGTCTCTGCTAGGTCCAACAACACTGCGGTGGTGGCTTTTCAAACATGTCAAAGCTGCCTGTTATAGAAGTCTGTCTCTGCTTCAGAGTCATCCAGGCCTATGCTGTGGCTCTTCTTTGGGGGCTCCACATGGTGTCCTTGATCACTCCAGGTGTCTCTACACCATCGAATCTCCTGGCCACCTGGGCCTGCTGAGAATGTCTGCTCTGGGTCCTGTTCAGATATGGTGTCTCCAGTGTCCAGAGCTCCTCCACTGACCCGACTCTTTTGCCCTCTTCTATGAGAGGAGGCTGTGGCATGCCCCTGGTCACTGACCTTATTCATGTGGTGGCCCTCTGAATCTATCTCAAGTTCATTGCCCATGCTCTGGCATGCTCCTATCACACGGAACACAAGATACCTTGCTACTCACTGCCACCCAGGTAGAGTTGGAATAATGTCACTGCTCCAGTGGAGCAGTGTGACCATCTGCAGAATATCAAGCTAGCTCCCTAATAACTATATACGAATATAGATAAGGAGAGTTGAACTAGCCTGGGGGGAGAGTGGATGTTTACTTCTGACCCCTCATGTGAAGGCTGCTTCATCTTCACCACTGATAGAATACATCTCCCAGATCAATAACCTCGAACAAGTGCCACAACCTGTCTATTTGTTCCAGTAAAGAAACGACTTCTAGTGCAGCATTTGTTATCAGGAGTAGCACCTGCTTAAATTGTCCACCATAACCAGACAAGACCTACCTGGAGTCTGCAGGAACCAGACAGTAGCCTTGAGTGATGAGGGGGACAATAAGCCCTGAGCCCTTCAGTTTCTGACCGTTCTGTTAGTTTCTGCCGTTACCCCGGGTGTGTAGTCTTGCTTCTCATGGACAGCCTTGCCCAGGTTGGAGCACATCTTCCTAGACTTTCACACCTGTGTCCATTGCTGCTATTGTAGCTCTGCATGCCAGGCATCAATTGAGGGTCTTCAACTGCATGTGGGGCCTACTTATGTGAATGGTTCACTGCAGATCCTGGGACATTTATCCCCAGTGTGGAGCCATAGGTGCATGGAATAGGATAGGACTTGGTTGAGAACCCATTGATCCTCGCCCTTAGTAGGCCACCTCTGTAACCAAAGGCCCATGATGGCATTTAGGGTCTCTGGGTATTAATGTTATCTGGGACTTGTACCCAACAGCCCTCAGCTATCTGTCTATCCCTCTTCCACTATCCCCAGATTCCTTGGTGAATCATTGCAGCTCCCTTTGCGAGAATGGCTGGGAGACTTCTTTAGCTCTTGGGTTCTTCAAGAGACCTCGCCTGGTTTTCAGTCAGTGGGCCATGTGTGGATAGACACAGACCTGGCACCTCGACAAGGAACTGCTGCTTGTAGTTCTCCATCGTGTTGCAGGATGTCAGCTCTGCAGCGAGCTCTCAGATTTAGTTATTGCACAAGTTGAGTGACACTTTCACCAGCTTTTATTTTTTTCTTATTATACAAATTTACTAACCTTTTAGTTTCCCATCTGTCTTTCCCCTGGGAACATCATGACCTTTAACCACCATTGAATCCCCCTGCAGATCAGAGGACTCGGATGACCTCTGTGGCTTTGAAGTCAACTAGCTGGCCTCAGTCTCTGGACTCCTGTCATCACGGAGTCCCTCGTCACCACTGATGCTGGGGAGGTGTTTCCATGGCAGCCTCTCCTAGGTCAGTGCCACCTACAGGCCAAGCTTCCTTTCTTTCTTCATGAGTCCCAACGCTGACATGTGGGATAGGCTGAGGCTGGCACAGGGTCTCCTTGAAGCCACTACTGTTCTTTCTTTAGGCCTTGGACCTGATCTTTAGCGCACTGTGCATTGAGATATTGAAATGAGAATCTCCTTAAATGCATCTTAGAGGTCTTCTAGCTTTCACAGCTGGCCTTGAGCTCATGGTGGGCTGACCTAAATCTGTCCTTTTCTTTTTAAGAGTCACAAAGGAGTTAACAAAAGCCACAACCTCCACAGTCACCCCTGTCCTACCCCATTCACAGCTGTAGACTCCTGTACTTCCCCCGTATCTGTACCACATCCCAATAAGCCATAAATGGATGTCTTTGAAGCTGTGTTGTCAACTCTCTGCTTGCCACCATAACAGGGTCCTGTGCCCTCTAGGGATACAATGTCCACATCCACAGCTTCATCCCTAGGATCTGTTTTTTTAAGGTCACTCCTGCTACCAATTGCCTGGGCCTCATCCATCAAAACTAGAATCAAACAACAGGTGATGTGCCTGCGTTTTATTTGGGGATCATGTTGTGTGGGGGACAGAGGGGAGGGAGGGTTAGCTCCGTATCCAGCCAGGCTTTCTGGGAGCCTCCTGTCTGAGGAGCACCCTTCAGGGGTGCATCTGAGCAGTGTGCCCGAGGGATGAGAACAAGTAAGGCTGGTCGTTGGTTTCTGTGTCTAGCAGTTGAGGATATCCCTGAAGACAGGACTGCTGACTTGGAGTTCTGGGGTGGAGATGTGGATATGTTTATTGTCTTTCCCTATTTTCTGAATCGGAGAAGAGCTGGGGTCAGAAGGTAGAGGTGTGGCTTATACCCCCCAATAAAGAGCTATCAGACATGTGAGTAAAGATGGTGGCAATGTGCAGCAGCTGGGTGACATAGCCATGTGTGGAACAGAAGTGAGACCAAGGGCCTTGACACAGTGTGCACAGGTGTCCCTGCAGTAACACGATGGGAAGTCCAGGGGACCTTGCTCTGGGAATGGCTGGACCTAGGAGTGAAATAACGCTTCCTAGGCAAGGCCATATTGGTCCCTCAGCTCTGTCTTCTCCTGGGTTGGTTTCATTCAGACTCTTTCCGTTCAATGGCAAGGTGGCCAATAAGAAGCTTGCCTTTCCCATCTCGTCTCCTCAGCAATCTTGGAGAAGGAGCTGCCTTTTAAGGAGCAGTTCCAACAAAAGTGACCAACTGATAACTTCCTCCTTGTCCCCCAAAGAACAGCCGGAGAGCACCTGGGGAGCCAGGGGCCCTGCTCTCTTACATCTCTGTTCCTTGAGAGTCCAGAGTCTTTGCCTCTCCTGTGCCTTCTCCTGGCTTTCAATCACCACCTGGTAAATGCTGGGTGGGAGAACAAGTAAAGGAACGACTCTTATTCCATAGCTCTTTTAGGGATTTTATTTTCCTAAAGAGAAATCCCAGTAACTTTAGGCCAAATCAGGTAGGCAGACTGGGTTAATTCTTTGAGAAATTTATGAAAATATCTGTCCTTCCTAACTTTGGGTACACTATATAACTTGGCAAACTACTGGTCATTTTGGAAATTACTCTCTGGTTTGTAATTTATTGGTTTTCCAGATAGCCTCCTTGGATATCCAGTGGGAACTTGGACTGGGAATGATTCATCTCATTGGGGCTGATTGTTAATTTTTAAATGACATTAGAGGCAACATTCAGAGAAAGGCTCAAAATCACCATTAGTTACACAGAGTGTTAATGAGCAATTACTCTAGGTAAACAGGACCTCTGTGCCAGGTCAGATGTAATGAGCCAGGCATGGTGTCCAGGTATAGAGCAAAGGGTGACCAGGGGTGCAAGAAGGAGTTAGCAAGATGCCAGGGGCATACCAAGGGGTCAACGCCAAGAGTTCAGCATGAAACTTCAGGCAGGACAAAGAGTCTGTGTAGAGAGATGGAGCCTCTGCCTGAAGGATTTTCCGCACCAGAAGACAGTGGCTCTGGAGGCAAGTGGGCGAGCAGCCAAAGTCTTCATCTCTACTCCAAGTTCCCTATTTCCAGATGTGCAGAACTACACACCCAGGGCCCCAGAGACACTGAGTGACTTGCCCAAACGTGGACTGCTGGCTGTGCTCAGAGCACTGCCCAGCACGTGCTGGTACCTGGTGGATTCAGTGCCCCCTGCCTCCTCAGTCTCTGCTTTTGAAACCCGTGGCTCCATGGTGGCGAGTCTCTAAGAGCAGAGACTGAGATGTGGGCCTCTGTATCCTTTGGATACAGGGCCAGTGCTTTGGGCTCAGGGATGTTCAGGAATTGCTTATTTGTTCTCTGACTCCCGTCTCAGCCCTCCTGGTGTCACTAGCTGGACTGACTTGGTCATCAGCCCCCACAGCAAAGGTGAGGAGTGAACTTGAACTGCCTCTGAAGATGCAGGCCCATGCCATGCTGCAGGCACAGGGAAGTGGGTACTGGAGCACGGTGTGGCGAGATGTGGGTTCAATTCCACAGAGACTTGAGACCCAGCATGCCTGTTCTCATCTTTCTTACCTGCAATATGGCAATTAGCTGTTTGTTTTTATAATTAATGATGGTATTGAACAATTCCATCTTCAAGTAATCCTAATGTTAAACTGCTTTTACTTCAAATTGCAGAAATTCTCAGAGCTTCTCTTACTCTACTGGGCATTGTGAACCCTGGGAGGAGCCCACAGCAGCCACAGATGTTCCTGGTCCTTGCAAACATTTGTCAGGGAGCATCCTGAAGGATCAGTGTTCTTGGAACACTTTGGAAAATCTCACAAAGCCCGTGGTAGGTGCTAAAAATAGTATTTGCTCTTAGTGTTGTTGTCACAATTATTACTATTGTTTTATTATTACTGAAATAATACAGGGACTGGGAGCTGAATGACCCTGAGATCATATTTCAGAATTCACAATTTTCCAATAGACTTTCGTACCGGATCTAGCCAGGCCAGTCCCCTGTGAATTTCTCTAGCTTCAGAACATACAAACCAAACATAGACAAATCCCTCCTGTCCTTGCTAATTAGAGTGATGGATGGTGGAGACAGGACTGGGCCACGCTGCGGTAAAGATGATGGCTTTGCTTTTAATTAACTGTGCAGGGACTTGAGGGGCGCTAGGGAAGTGGAGCAATCTTCCACAGCACACTGCTCACTCCTGTCCGGAACATACCGAGTCTTTCGGGCCCAGCAACCAAAGAGGACAAGCATGCAGCCTGCAGACACCACTCAGGGCCCTCAATCCTCGCTCTTCCCAGGAGCCAAGAGGCACAGACAGACAGGAAGTGGGAGATTCTCAGCACTGGGCAGCCCAGCCTTCCTTCAAGTCCTCCTGGGGCAGGACTGACCATTCCTGGGACAGTTTCAGTCCCCAGTAGACACTTAAATAATGAAAAAGGGTTCAACATTTTTGTGCACATTCTTGGAACAAGGGAGTGCTTTGGGCCTTTAAGTCCCTCCAACATCCCTGGTCCCTTGGTCCCTTGCAGTTTTAGAAGCAAGCCTTGGTTGGGCTGGGTTCTCAGCTGGAGTCTGCAGTTCACTTGTGGGAAACCTGGGAAGATCCCTTCTCCAATCATCTTTCCTTTCCTGGGGTTTGGGCTGGTTCTGCTGCGACAGTGTTTGGGCTGTGGCTGGCCCTGGGTAGTTTATCTCAATTCAACAAATATTCAACGGTCACTATCAGGTTTGGGGCCCTGGGATATGTGGTGCAGTGTAAGCCTGCTTCTGGCTTCAGGGAGCTCACAATCTGGACATGAAGGTAAAGGTGTGCACGTGACTGTCAGGTCCACACAGCGTAAGTAACTCAAGAGGGGCTCAGGGTGTGAAGCCAGCTGGGATGAGCAGGCTTCAGAGGACATTCTGAGGCTGTGGATATTGAGGAGGAGGGTATTTAGTAGAGTTTTAAAAACAGGAGCTTCTTTTGCTTAAAGAGACTTGCTCAGTCAGAGCTTCCCACAGCTCCTTGCTTTCTTTCTGTGCCCCCCCTCAGCAGCTGCAGAGGCCCAACACTCATTTTTTATAAAAACCTTGCATCCCTTTGGGTTGGCCAGCTCCCCTGGACGGGCACACTGCACAGCTTTGGATTCCTGCCTTAAGTCCTGCTGCCTCATTGCTTGCCGATTTTGGAGAAAATGAATTGAACCTCCTGTGCTCAGTTGAGAAAGCAGCCGCAGGCAGGAAGGAAGATCCTGAGGAGGCAGGGATTTAGTGCCTCAGGTGGGAAGCAGGGGGGCCAGCCAATCGCGGAAGCTGGCCTGTCTCTCCAGGTGCCAGCACATCCTGTCTCCTCCAGCTGGGGAGGATGTCCTAGAACGCAGCTCTGACCTGCACATCTGCTCCTGGGCTGCTTCCCGCTTAGACCCCATGAAGCCCAAGCTTCCCTGCCAGCCCCCTCCCGGCCCAGCCCCTCCCACCCAAATGCGGAGCTTATTCCCCACGTGTAGGTGCGCTGTCCCCCCAGGCCTTTGTTCCCTCTTTTGTCCCTCAAGCCCTGATCACCCAGCCACCTTGCCACTGCCCAAGTCTATATAGACAATGGCCCCTTGGGGACACCTTCCCAGCATGCTCTTCTGGGCCAGCAAGGAGCCAGGATTCGTGGAGGGTCCTTGACCTTCCTCTCCGTCGATACCATCCCCTGCCGACTTCTCTCAGTCTTATGACCCTGTGTTTCATACTTCACTCACTTGTCTCTCCCATTACACACTCTGAATGCTCTGGGGACACAGACATGGCTGGGGAGAGCTCACCTGCAGTGCCCCATCCACCAGGCACCTCTAGCAGAGCCTGGGACACTCCCCATCATCTCCCTGACCTCATCTGTGCAGGATGCCACATGGGTGGGCTGGAGCTGGTGACGGCGGCTTCCCCTGCCCTCCCTCTGTGTCAGGGTGGAGAGACAGATCTCTCTCCTCTCTTCCTGCCCCTATGAGGCCGCAGTCCTATGACACTAGGGTCGCCTCTCAGGACTTAACCATCACCAACCTTAACATCTTGGCCTTCATCTATGAAGTTCAGGGTCACATTACAGTCCTCGGCACTCACAGGGCCTTCTTGACCCTCTTCCCCAAGTGATGAGCTGGTGCCATGTGAGTGGCATTTGCCGTAATTCTCATGATTATTAGTGTCACTTCCTCAGTGTTTTCTGTTTTCAAGGTGGCTTGCCACAGCCACAGCCACAGCAGCATCTTCTTCGTCAGGGATGAGTTTGTGAGGGTATGCAGGGACATGTAGTGGAGCTTCAAGCTCCTCTCCCCCTGATCTCAGGCTTCAGTTCTCACCACCTTGTTCCAGAAGGATGCCTTGACCTGCCCATGGACTCCACCTCAGCCTTGGAAGCCTGACCTTTGTTTCCCACAGCCCTGTTCCTCTCAGGGGCTGGAGTCTCTGCTGTCCGCTGAAGTGGCCACCGTGACTCTCCCCACCCATGCCTGCTGGGAGTCAGGTCTCCAGGACCCTCGCTCTAGGGTGCCCAGGTGAGTGAGGTTTGGTTAAGGAGGGAGGGAAGAAAGTGGCATCAACCTACCCTGTTCCAGGGGATCCATGAACTGTCATGAATGTGTTCCTCATGGACACTTTGAGGTTCAGAGAAGTCAAAGACTACCCTGAAATCACTCGGCTGAGAGGCGACACAGGTTGGATTGTGCCAGGTGTCTGCCTCTGGTGGGAGGAGCTCAGCTTAGATCTCCCTGGGCAGTGCACCCCTGCCCACCTGCTAAGCACCCCTGATGTCCCCTTCTCTGAGATTTGTCCTTGCCAGGGAGGGAATGTCCCCTCCCCAGGACTCAGTGCCAGGGAAGATGGGCTGGTAAGGAAGACGGGTGCCAGCCCCTTGTCTAAGGGGGCGGCTCTGCTGAGACCCTCTTTCCAGGGGTCAGGCTCAGCTCTAGCCTTCACCTGCTTTCCTCACAGGCTTCTCCCAGCAACATGCCCTCGAAAGGTCATGAGCTGCGGGAGCCCTGCCTCAGCCTCTGCTTTCAGGAATGTGGCCCTAGAGATCCCCAGACCAGACCTTCCCCCATGCCACGTGTGGGATTCGGCACACCTGGATGCACTGCCCTGGGTCCAGGGGCCTGACCCACTCCTGGAGAAGTACCCTGGCTTCTGGGAGGTTTGGTGAATGGATGGCTGGAGGAGAGAGGAGGAGGGTGGGGCATTTCTTCCTTGGCCCCTGCCTTGCTCCGGCTCCCTGGTATGACCCTGCTGTGCCCGCCTTGTCAGCTGTCCGACTCATGGCTCCAGCTCTGACCTAGCTCTCCAAACTCAGTCCTGCCCTCCCTGTTCTCCATGGGCCCACCCATTGCTGCTAGTCCCTGGCAACTTGACATCTGAGCTGGTTCTCTTAACCCTAACAGAGTTGGGACCCTTCTGTAAGAGTGCTTTAATTCAAAGTCTCTTCAAAGACTCCAGATAGGATGGATATCTATTTCTTGCGAGGCACGCTAACTGCTTTGCTTTCATCTGACAGATCTACTCAGATTGATTGCCCATGGCTGTCCACATGATGTGTTTAGGAAGAGTGCTGTGATCCATTAGTGATGTCTGTCAGTGTGCAGCAGGGTAGGCATGTATAAGTGCCATGTTTTGGACTTCTCTGAACTGGATGGCCCTGTCTCTGAGATTCCTTTTGGCTCTGACTTCTAGGATCTATTATTTATGAAAAAAAGAGATCAATTTCCCTCCAGAGAAGCCTGAACAAGATGATGGAGTTAATGACTGTGGCCAACCAGCTGACAGCTTATTGGCAAATGAGACATCGACACCGTGGGAAATTATCTCCTCCGTGTGGCCAATTAATCTTGACTTTGTGGCTCATGCACTATCAGTACTGCTGTCAGTAATGGACCACCAGGGCAGAGGGTGGGAGGGTCTTTCACAGACTTTTGGAACCAAGTGCAAAAAAGTTTGGGGGCCTGTTGAATGCAAAACCTTCCAGTTACAGGTGGGTCTGGTCAGACCACAGACAGTAGAGTGATTTGCTCTGCAGCCTTTGTAAATGCATATTTTTATTAAAGGTGCATTTTGATCAGTTATTGTGGGACAACATTTTGTGCTATATGTTCTGCAAAGGAATAACTCCATAGCCTTAAGGTTAGCAAGGGTGAGATAACCTAAGCAAAAATCACAAAAATAAATGTACACTTTTATCATTTAAACAAAATTCAGAAAGTGAAGAATGGAAGCAGGAATACTTTAGGGTGATGTTCAATTATGAAAAACCTGGACTCTGGTGGGAGGGGCCCAGGTGGAGAGCTGGTGGATCGGTGGCTCAGGCAGTAGGGACAGAAGACACAAAGATCCTGAGGCAGAGAGATGAAGGAATGGAAAGTAGGCCACAATATTTGGACTACAACAGGGATGAGGAAATCATGAAGAAGAGCGGGAGACAGGGTCAGGTCAGCAGCACACCGGGATGTGGTTAGCTGGACGTCTCTGAAGCTGGATCCCTGGGGCCAGTGGGCAGGAGTCCCATGCAGAACATGGGGAGGTGCAGCCTGTGGTTCTCATCTGCACAGTAGAGATGCCAAGTTGTGTCCCCGTCATGCTGGGGGCCCCATGGGGTTCTGTGTGGGAATGCAGTTTTTAAATAAGAGCTGTGAAGTTAAAATGGCTAACTAGAAGGCCACCAGGCTAAGATGGCTTCAGTCTCTGAGCAAAGGAAAACGTAAGCTCATCCTATCAGAAGTGGCCGGCGAACCTCTCCCAGGTCTCTCCACTTCAACCTCTCAAAGATTTGTCTTTCTTCTGCAAACACTTTATAAAATCTTCTCTCCCCCGCTCACTGGAGCGTTGAGCTGTCCATGGCTGGTGCTGTGTGGTCAGCTGCACTTCACATTCTAACATGCAGAGGTGCACTGTCTAACAGTCTGCAGGAGGCTGGGTTCAAAGGAGGCCACCTTTGCTGTCCCTCCCTGTGTGGCCTGGCTTTTCACTTCTTGGCTGATTCTCTCTGACCAGGCCTCTGCAATGCTCTGCCTCTTCAGCCAGCCCCAGGCCATGTCTGCTCCAGGTGCCAGATGTGAGCTCTTGCCCTCTGCTTCTTCTCGGGGCTCTCTGTGTCCTGATGCTAACCTTCTCTGTGGAGACCGAAGGTCACCAGCCACTGTCCCTGAAAATGGCTCCTCGGGCTTCCAGGCTTTCTCTGGACGCCCAGGTTTCCTTTACCCTCTGAACCTACTCACCCTTCAAAACTCGGCCACCTGACTTCCTCTGGGTGCCGTGACGGCTGCCTTGTCAGCCCAGGTGACCCTGCAGAGGGCCAGGCACGAGGCCCCCGTCCTGTTCCCAGCCTGGGTCTTTCCCGGCACAGGGCTCCCTCCTGGGAGGGACCCATTAGAAGTTCACAAACCATGAATATGTGAGCGAGTCGATGACAAGATGCTGGGGACATCCCTTCTAAAACACACGACTAGAGAGCAGCCCCTCTGCCAAAGCTCAGCTGAAAAGCAGAGCTCTGTCACCCTCCGGGAAGTTCTTCCCTCCGTGAAGAGAAAACAATACATACATAAAGATTCATTTGTCTTTCTCTGCTGTCTGACCCTGGAGTCCTCCAACCCCCTGCTTTCCAGCCAGCAGCTCAGGCACCAGAGTTGTACCTGCTCCCCGCCGTGGTGAGCCAGCCAGCAATAAATCCTCAATTAGCAAGGAGGAGGATTGATGGAAGCTGTTCTCCTCTTCCTCCACTTTTGTTCAATGCTCCCTGTAAACAAGGCTGTGTGGCTGGCATTCAAGAGGAAGGAAAATTGGATTTAAAGTCATTTAAAACTTGCCATGATTAATGTCATGCCAGGTAAGCAGTGAAAAAGCACATTAAAAGAATCCAAAAATAATTCTGCTCTTCGGCCTGCGAACATTGTCTTTCTATGTGCATATGAATATATCACACAGAACCTTCTACATAAACAGATGTGAAACCATGACCCTCATGTGATGGCAGCTCACCACCTCTACAGGGGCAATGGATTCACACATGACATACCTACTGTGAGCCCCCAATGCAAATCATGTCCCTGTGGGACGTGGCCTTTGCAACACTGCACATACTTGGCAAGAACCATCCATGGAGTCAGACAGCCCTGGCTTTAGCACTGAACAGAATTCTGGGATCTTACAGGCTGGACTTGATGGTTTGCCTTCTCATTGGTGGTAATACCAACCATAAATGTGTTAGGATTTTTTAAAATTCTAATTTGTTATATATGACAGCAGAATGCATTACAGTTCACATTACACATATAGAGCACAGTTTTTCATATCTTTGGTTGTACCCAACATAGAGCTACACCAATTGTGTCTTCATGCATGTACTTAGGGTGATGATGTCCATCTTATTCCACTGTCTTTCCTGCCCCCATGCCCCATCCCTTCTCCTCCCACCTCTTTGCCCTATCTAGAGTTTGTCTAGTCCTCCCACATTCCCCTCACAACCCCACTATGAATCAGCCTCCTTAAATCAGAGAAAACATTCGGCATTTGGGTTTTTGAGATTGGCTAAATTCACTTAGCATTATATTCTCCAACTCCATCCATTTAATGTGTTAGGATTTATGAGATGCTGTAAATGAAAAATTAGCAAAGAAACTGGCATTCATTAAATATTCAGTTAACGAAGCATAGGTCTATTTATCCACTTCCATAGTATTATGTGTGTTTGTGTCATGCACTTGTGGCATACCATCCCTGAATTGATACCTTATATAAGGAACATAGAGTTACTGTGTGTGTGTGTGTGTGTGTGTGTGTGTGTGTGTGGTGTAGGGGGCTGTGCATACATAAATATTGAGTTCAGAATGACATTTCAACAGTTTTATTTTGGCCAAATATTTTAAAATATGTTACCACCTAGACATGATTCAAAACCATTTTCAGATTTAGACAGTTCTGCATTACATCATGTTTTCACAAAGTTCTGTAAGACACTGGACCTCACTGAGGCTCCTTCTCTCCCTCCGTAAAATGGGAAAATAGGGAAATTTACATTAGAGTGCTCGTGCAATTCAATGAGACGGTCTATTGGCTGGCTCACTCATTCCCAAAGCATTTCTCTTAGTGTCTTTCTGCAGGGGATGAAAATGCAAGGAAAATTGGGATGGGGTTCCCACCCCAAGAGGGTCACCTGTGATCCACGCTGGCTTATGAACATGCCGTCCTCTATCTTTGGCACCTCCAGGGCAGGGGTCCCATGAAGGGTTTGGTAGTTTGTGCAGGTTTACATTGAGTTGTAACCCAGAGCAGGAAGGAGAACTTAGCAGGATTCTCTCCTACAGCTCTTCTTCCCAACCAGTTCTTATTGTTGACCTACCCTCTCCCTTTTTTATAAAACAGGGAAGGTGGTAAAATGGGTGTCAGGAAACTGTCATCCTTTTCTTACTGTGACCTGGATCACCACCACAGCACCCAACCAATCCTGCAGCTTGCACGCCCATCCCCGTAACTGAGGTCAACTCAGCAGCCACAGTGAGCTTTACAGAATGCCCATCTGCCCTCAGCCAGCTCCTCTGCTGGGCCCAGTGGCTTCTCATCGCCGAAGGACATTTCCTTTAAGTTGTCACAGCCCTGCTGGCTTCCTTCTTGTTCCCAGAAAAAGCTGGACTCCTTGGTCCCTTGGGAGTGGCTCTGTCCTCTCTGCCGCCATTTCCTCCTCACTGCCAGATATTGTGTCAGTTGTAACCAAGGTGGGTGGAAGGGCCCTTGCCTCCACCTGACACCAGATGGGAAGTTGATTCCTTTGAGAAATGGTTGTTGGCAGAACAGATGTTCCTGGTGGCAGGAGCTTGTGAATGGGACTCTTGCTATTGGTCACATACATAGTCGTCATCCTGGCCACTATGAGTTCATTGTGCCCCTGAGTCCATAATGCCAGCAGAGGAGAACATCAGTGACCCTTGCTCCAGGCACAGTAGGGCCTGCCCAGAGCCTCAGGAGTCACCTTTGCCACCACAGATACTTGGAGTACCTTAGGGTCTTTCTGGTCACAGAGCCCTAGTGGCAGGGCACTGGTACTGCAGCCTGGAAACGCTGCAGAGCCTTTTCCTGGGCTGCTCCCAGTGGAAGCTGACAGCCTTCTGTGTCACGTGGTAAATAGCCTGAAACAGTACAGGGGTCCCTCAGTGTCTTTGGGGACTTGGTTTCAGGAAACCCATGAAAACTCAGATCTCAAGTTCCTTATATAAGATGGTGTAGTGTTTGCATATCACCCCCCCCCCCATCCTCCCACGTACTTCAGATCTTCTCTGGATTACTTAGACTACCTGGGCAACGTAAGTGCTGTCAGTAATTGCTGTTCTGTATTGTTTGGGGAGTGATGACAAGGAAAGTGTCTTTACATGTTGAGAACAGTGGCAGTTAAACATTTTTCTTGTGTGATTTGTTGGATCCATGAATGTGGGGAGAACTGCTTCCTGCGGTGCAGAGCCTGAGGAGGGCTGCTCTGCTCAGAGGGCGGGGAGTGGAGGCCATAACTTGGTGTTTTTCTTTGGGAGGAAAGAATGTCCCAGGCCATTAGATCCCTATGAATGTCATGGCAGAGTCCCAAAGTTCAACATGGTTTATCTACTGCTTCTTAGAACCTGTGTTATTTTACAGAGACATCACCAATCCTGCCCTGTATGTGCACCTTATGCAACCAGCAAGATGTCAGTGCCCATCATCCCAGCTACTCAGGAGGCCAAGGTGGGAACATTGTGAGTTCAAGGTCAACCTGGCCACTTAGGGAGACCTCATCTCAGAAAAAAAATTGTTACCTCTTGTATACTTGCCTATTAATCTACTGTGATGTTCTTTGGAATAGAGACCATAGTATTTTAGGGATTTGAGAGTTGAGATAGCCACAACAAGACTGCAATACTTTAAGCGTATGCAGACATCCTTCTCAGAGGGAGGAGAGATCCTTTGGGTTGTTTACCTAATAGGACTAGGAAAGAAGGCCTTCACGAAAATCAGAGGTGCAAACCCCATCCCTGGAGTGCCACCAAGGGCTTGAAACAACACACCCACGATTGGGAGCAGACTGTCAATCTTGAGGAAAAAACAGC